ACTGTTTCTTGAAAATACAAACCCCAAATACCACACAGCTTTGGCTCTAGCTATTAAATTTTTATTAAACTTTTAAAAATACGTATATGTCAGTTATTAAAAGTAAACCTTCTTTTTGTGCTACCTTATTGATAAAGTTTGGATACTTTCCCCCTTTAAATCTCACATTGAAATTTGATCCCAGTGTTGGAGGTGGAGGCAGTTTGGATCCCGGGAGTGGATCCCTCATGGGGCCCTCCCTCTATTAGTTCCCTGGAGAGCCGGATGTTTAGAGCCTGGCAGTTCTATCTTTTCCCCTTGCTTATTCTCTTACCAGGTGACACATCTGTCCCCCCTTTACCTTCAGCCTTGATTAGGAGCTCCCTGAAGTCCTTGCCAGAAGCAGATGCTATCACATGCTTCTCATACAGTCTGTAGACCTTGAGCCAAATAAATCTCTTTTCTTTATAAATTACCCAGCCTCAATTATTCCTTTCCAGCAAAGCAAAATGGATTAACACACTCATAAAGGAAATTTTCCCATATGAAAACTTTTTTTTTTTTTTGAGATAGTCTCACTTTCTTGCTCTCAGTAGTGTGCCGTTGCATCACAGCTCACAGCAACCTCAAACTCTTGGGCTTAAGCAATTCTTTTGCCTCAGCCTCCCAAGTAGCTGGGACTACAGGCACCCGCCACAGTGCCCAGCTATTTTTAGAGTGGATGACCTCAAGTAAGTGGGATGCAGATTCTCCCTCTTGGGCATTGGAGCTACTATACAAAAAATGCTTGTTTTTTGTTTATTTGGTTTTTTGGAGACAGAGTTTATGTTGCCCTTGGTAGAGTGTGTGGCGTCACAGCTCACAGCAACCTCCAACTCTTAGGCTTAAGTGATTCTCTTGCCTCAGCCTCCCAAGTAGCTGGGACTACAGGTGCTTGTAATGCCTGGCCATTTTTTGGTTGCAGTCGTCATTGTTGTTTGGCAGGCCTGGGCTGGGTTCCAATCCGCCAGCTCTGGTGTATGTGGCTGGCACCCCAGGCACTGCACCAGGCCCATATGAAAACTTTTAACTGAGAAAACAGATTATATATATGTAGGATTCATGACTGGAAACATAAGTTAGTATATATTAGGTTGGTGCTTTGCTGTAAATACATCTATAATTTCTTTTTTTAAGTATTTTTTTAAATTTCAGATTAATATAAGGGTACAAATGATTAGGTTACATTGTGTTAGGTAGAGTTCGAGTTGTAGTTGAGCCCTACGCCCAGGGAGTGTGCTGTATATCCTTACATTGTGCACATTAGGTGAGAGCTTACCAAACCCTCTCCTCCTCCTTGCTCCCATTTCTCTTCCACCCCCTCCCCTTCACTTGAATTTAATTGTGTTTTTCTCTCTTGTGTGGGCATATAGTTGTTTACCTATTAGTTTCATATTAGTATTACATACATTGGATACTTGCTTTTCCATTACTGTGATACTTTACTAAGAAGAATATTCTTTTAACTCCATCTAGGTGAATAAAATAGATGTAAAAAGTCTCCATCTTTTTATGGCTGAATAGTATTTCATGTGGTATACATATACTACAGTTTATTAATCCATTGATGTGTTGATGGCTACTTGAGTTGACTCCCCCTCAACTATAATTTCAGTGAAATTATCCTTCCTTTAGTCTCCTTAACAAAAATGTTGTGGAATGGCAGAATAAATTAAAAACAATACGAAGGGAAGAAATTATGTGGCCCCAATCAAGTAAAATAAACTGCCAATGAAAAATAGTACGGGCATCAACAAAAAAATATGGATATATTCAGAAATAAGTTTTAGATCTATAGCACAAGTTTAATAATGGAGTATGAATCTAAAGTATCTGATAATTCTTTGCTATCTTTAATACATTTCTTACTCATACTCATACACAGAATTTACAGAGAATAACCCAAGTCTACTTCCTTGCAAAATCCCCTAGGATTTTCTCACATTTGGTATTTTCTTTGCATTATACTTACTGGTTGAGCATCCTTAATCTGAAAATCCAAAATGCTCCATATAGTATTTCCCCAAAAACGTCAGATTTTGGAGCATTTTGGATTTTCAAATTAGGGATGCCCCACCTATATAACATGGCCCAACCACAAGCGTGTAACTGTATATACAATAGTATATAACCATTTTCAGAAAAGGGAAAGAAAAAGCTAACCAACATCACAAAAGCCATTTGTAGAAAAAAAGAGGGGAAGCAAATGTGTTTTTTCTGGGCTATTTGGTGGTTTTTTTTTTTTTTCATTAGCAAATGAAAATTGTATATATTTATCAGGTACAATATGATGTTTTAATATCATGTATGAATATATTATAGAATGGCTAAATCAAGATAAATAACATATCCCCTATTTTTTTTATAGTGAGAACATTTAAAATGTACTTTCTTAGCAATTTTAAAGTGTACAATACATTGCAATTAACTGTAAGCATTACGATATACAAGTTGAGCATCCCTAATCCAAAAATCTAAACTCTGATACGCTCTAAATCTGAAACATTTTGAGCACTGGTATGAGGCTCGAAGGTCATGCTCAAAATCAAATTTTGGATTTTCAGATTAAGGATGCTCAACTGCTAAGTATAATGCAAATATTCCAAAGTTAAAAAAAAATGTAAAGGCCTGGCATGGTGGCTCACACCTGTAATTCCAGCCCTCTGGGAGGCCCAGGTGGGTGGATTGCCTACATTCAGGAGTTCCAGACCAGCCTGAGCTACAGTGAGACCCCATCTCTAAAAATAGCTGGCCATTGGGGTAGGCACCTGTAGTCCCAGCTATGTGGGAGGCTAAAGCAAGAGAATTGCTTGAGCACAAGAGTCTGAGGTTGCTGTGAGCTACGATGCCATGGCACTCTTTGGGGAGTGACAAAGTGAGACTCTGTCTCAAAAAAAAAAGGTAAAATCTGAAACACTTCTGGAACCAAGCGTTTTGGATAGGCATACTTGGCTTGTACAATAGACCTCAAGAATTTACTGCTCCTATGTGAAATTTTGTATCCTTGACGAACATCTCCCCTACCTCTACCTCAGACAATTTTTTCCCTCAGCTTTGTAGTTTTCCATATTTCTGTTATTTTTATAATAAAAATAAACTTTACTTTTAAGGAAGTCTGAAAATGTCCTCAAGTACATTATTGCCATTCAACTGTTGAACAGCAGCACGTTACCTGCCGCGTGTTGCGGCACTTTCTAGGCCGCGAGAGAGAATAAACTAAAATAATACAAACTTAAGCCCCTCTATTTAAACTAAGCCTGACAAGAAAAGGAAAGCATTCTTTGAAACAAAAAAAAGACTCGCGTTCTCACACAGCAAAACCCAGATAAGTGAGTAATAGCTTTCAACCACTGACAGGAAAAAGAAACCACAAAGTATTTTTCTAAAAGCAACACCAATAAGTTATTACATGATACATACTCATGCCAAAAATAGATAGAATCCGAAGCCTCCAATCTAAAAATAAAACTGTGTTCATAATATATGTATGGCAAGAAAAGTCCAGGGGTTAGATCTTAATTTATACTCAAAGAAATGCATTTCAGTAGGTTTCATAAAACAGTACCTGTGCAGCTACTTCTCACTTTGGAAAAGATGAAGCTGAGAGAAAGACACAAGTGGAGAAGAAGATAAAACTGCCCTGTCTTACTTTGTCACCCTTCATAGAGTGCGTTGGTGTCATGGCTCACAGCAACCTCAAATTCTTAGGCTGAAGAAATCCTCTTGCCTCAGTTTTTCATTTTCTTTTTTATCAGTAAAGACCAGGGTTGGGGCTCGGCGCCTATAGCTCAACCGGCTAAGGCGCCAGCCACGTACACCTAAGGTGGCGGGTTCGAATCCCCAGCCCGGACCCGCCAAACAACAATGACGGCTGCAACCAAAAAATGGCCAGGCGTTGTGGCGGGCACCTGTGGTCCCAGCTACTTGGGAGGCGGAGGCAGGAGACTCGCTTGAGCCCAGGAGTTGGAGGTTGCTGTGAGCTGTAATGCCATGGCACTCTACCCAGGGGGACAGCTTGAGGCTCTGTCTCAAAAAAAAAAAAAAAAGACCAGGGTTGGGGGGGGGGATTTCACTCTTGTTCAGGTTGGTCTCAGACTTCTGAGTTTAAGCAAACCACCTGCCTCAGCCTCCCAGAGTGCTAGGATTACAGCCATGAAACCACTGCGCCTGGCTGAGTTTTTAGTTTTTGTTTTTCTTGAGATGGAGTCTCACTGTGTTCCCCAGGCTAGTCTTGAACTCCTAGACTCAAGCTATCCTCTCATCTCAGCCTCTGGAAGAGCTGTGGCTACAGGCATGCTATAGAAGGAAAAGGGAAGAAGCCAGACCACAAAGGAAAAGGAGTTATTTAAGCAAAATGTCTACTTGATACAAGACAAGGGGGCTGTATGAGGTTCAAAGACCAATGTCAGTAGAAGCAAAGCAAAACACTGATATTCAGCATCCCTGTACTTAACTGTACTCAACTAGAGACCAACAGCAGCAAGTTAAAATAACTGGTTATGCCAGTATAAAAAGCCAAAGAAAAAACACCACAGTCTATAAAACATTACAAATAGGAATCAGAGTAGCCACACAGATAATAGCCTAAGTTCCCCCTCCCGTCTGTAGTTGAAGAGGCAACAACAGGAATACGTTTGTGTCATTATTCTCACTTTAGGTAGAGATATATTTGATGACCTCACTCCTTCTAAGCAAACAGGGAAGATGTGATTATATGTGTCAGAACAATGGGATGAAAGAGAACAGAGAAAGAGGCTTAAATGTGTAACATTTGCAGTGCACACGTAACAAATGACTACTGGAAATAGTGAAAATCTGAACAAAGGAGTGATGTTATTAATGACTCACTCACACAGTTGTCAACAGTATTTTTAAGCATTTAAATTACAAATGCAATAGTGTCCGTGACCACATTCAGACAAATGAGAATAGAAAAATCATCCCATTTACATTTTTATATGTATATAAAACTTAAAACTTACTAGATTCCACTGTCATCTGAAGCAAACTATCAATGACATTGGATAAGAGTCCTTTACTGGATATTCTTAGGTGATTCAGTATTACTGGAACAGTGTGATATTTCAAAAACAAGAGTTTTCCTTCATCTGTCTTCAAGTCCACACACAGAGAATCAAATGCCTGAGCCAGGTAATCAGCTGAAAAACAATACGTAAAATTAACTACCCCATTAATTCTCTGACTGGGAATCATAAACAGAAGGTAAAAAAGGAGTATTATCACTTTAACACGTTCAACAGAGAAATAAAACTTAAAAGATAAGACATCATAGGCTAAATTTAGATTCTAATTAATTTGTTAGAACCCAATGGGGAAGAGGAGAAAAGAGGCAGTATGTTAGGGTAAATTTCATTTAGAATTTTCATAGTTTAACACATATTTATTAAGATAACAAATAAGCCCCGTTTCTTTGTTATACCAAGAAAGAAAACCAATGACTAATAGTAAATGCCACAGATGTTTATTTGCCACGTGTGATAACTATAACACACTCCCCCAAATTTAAACAGCATTAGTATTTCTATTTTATAACAGCTTTCTAAGATTACATATATTTTTTGTTGCTGCTTTGTAAATGTTTACCTATTTCAAAATGTAACTTTATATAAACTTGCTAAATGGATTTTAAACAAGGATTTCCATCTTCTAGTAAAAATCAAGCATTAGGCCATTCAAAGATAACTTCGGAGGAATGAATACGCTCTGCTGTGTTATTTTTCATGATACAACTGCCATTAAGATGGCAGCAAGATTTTACCAAGGCCAGTACTGTAAGGATACCTGCTAGATCAGAATCCCTGAACTTTCTTTTCTTTTCTTTTTTTGATACAGAGCCTCAAGCTGTCGCCCTGGGTAGAGTGCCGTGGCATCACAACTCACAGCAACCTCCAATTCCTGGGCTTAAGGGATTCTCTTGCCTCGGCCTCCCAAGTAGCTGGGATTACAGGCGCCCACCACAACACCCGGCTATATTTTGGTTGTAATTGTCATGGTTGTTTGGCAGGCCTGGGCTAGATTCGAACCCACCAGCTCTGGTGTATGTGGCTGCTGCCTTAGCCTCTTAAGCTACAGGTGCCGAGCCAGAATCCCTGGAACTTTTTTAAAGATGGCCCACAGATGATTGGGAAGCACTAATTTAACCAGAAATGAAATGTTATGTTAATTGCATCATTATACTTGGATACATCAAACAATCCAAGTCACTACTCTTACAATTTTACATTATGCTTTTAAATGTATAGTATTCAAGTTTTCTAAAACACTTTTAAAATACTATGAAGGAATAAAAAATCATTCATGTTCTTCAAGCAATAGTAAATTAATTTTTCTACTGAGATTTCTGTTTAAAGGAGAAGGCTTAAGAGTACCTTGAATAACTGAAAGTATGACAGCATTACCATATTAAAATTTACTGTCTTCTGGCCTCATGTTGCTTTTCTTCTTTGCTGTTTCAGCTTATAGAAACAATAAACAATTTGAAACCCTAGTTATTAAGAATGAGAAGTTGAAAATAAATAACTTGCTTTGAAGTTAATATACATATGGAAGAATTCTGAGAAATTAAGATGTGCCTCTGGATCAATTTATAGACTATTCCATTTTTATTTTTCATAGTTTAGTTCAAGGAATGAATACTAATATTACTGTACTTAATTTTATAGTTAAAAATGTTGCAAATGTTTATTAATTTAGGCTAAGAAAATTAGCTAGATTCTCTTCAGATTTGCTTTTTTTAGAAACATTTTTTTTCCCCATAGCAACACATGTAGAAGAATATAGATGAATCCTGACTGCAACTCTTTACAGCAACAGAATTTTTATCACAGCACCACCTACTGTACTTGACACAAATTACTTCATGTCTTATGAATATCATCTGACAAGATTAAATGAGTTGAATGCTATATGGCATTTTAAAAAACAGATTGAATACTATATAATTCTTTTTAAGTATGCAGGCGTAAAATTGCCCTTTATTAATCTGGGGGGAAGTAAAAATGGTATTTGGTTATTTCTTCATGAGTGACTTTATTTTTGAGATAATTCAGAATTACATTCCCATTTTTAATATCCCTAATAAAAATGGGAATGGGAAAATTTTCAAAAAACAAGACCAATTTAACTTAAAAAAGAATATTTTTAAAAATTTAATTATAGATCATATCAAAATTGGTGTTCTTATAAATACATTATATAGAGTCTTAACAGTGTTCTCACATTCAAGTGCAATCTTTCTATTTCTTATCAAAAGTCAGTATATTGATCTTAACAAGTAGTAAATAGTGCTTTCCATTATTCAGTTTATATGGTAGATCAAAAGACTAGAAAGTCGTTGCAGCAACTCCCATCAAAAGGTAGATCCTACTGCCCACCCTTTGAATCTTGGCTGACCGTGACTTTAACCAACAGAATGCAGCAGAAACGATGTGTGAGTTAGGACTTTGGGCCTCAAGTGGCCTTGAACCTTCCACTCTTCAGCTAGATACTTTTCTGCCACTTGTAAACAGGCCCTGTTGAGAAAGGCCAACAAAGAACAAGAAAGCCTAGCTAAGTAAAACCATTCAACTGAGCTAAGCCAAAATTACTGAGCCAGAGAAGTGAGCTAGTAAATAAGATGATGGGTTTTTTATATCATGAAGTGTTTGGCTTATTATGCAGCAAAAGATAACTCATGTAGTCTAACGATCTCAATTCTAAGTAAAACCAATATAATAATTAATAATGATGATAGTGGCTAGCTTATTAAGAACTATATTCTAGACTTTTGCTAAACCTTCATGCTAATCTTAAAAAAAAAAAAAAAAAAATTGGGCTCGGTGCCTGTAGCTCAAATGGATAAGGTGCCAGCCACATACACCAGAGCTGGTGGGTTCAAATCCAGCCCAGGCCTGCCAAACAACAATGACAACTACAACCAAAAAAACCTACAACCCACCACTGTTGTGGTGGGCACCTATAGTTCCAGCTGCTTGGGAGGCTGAGGCAAAAGAATCACTTAAGCCCAGGAGCTGGAGGTTGCTGTGAACTGTGATGCCACGGCACTCTACTCAGGGCAATAGCTTGAGGCTCTGTCTCAAAAAAACAAAAAAATCATAATGTGAACAGAAAAGTGATCTTCTGAATGACATACAGCGAGTAGTGAAGCTGAGATTTCCAACCTTAGTTGCTTGACCACAGTGCTGAAGTTCTTTACTACTACATTATACTGGCTTCCCACCAAATCAATGGTTCTTGGTTTCTGAGACTGGCACTAATTCCCTACATTTCTCTAAGCCTAAAGTCTAAGTGTATAATTAAAAACCACACAAATCTGCATAAGGTGGGGGCCAAGTGGGAAAGGACAGAACTATTAAAGCACATATTAAAAATATACATAAGCGTATTTTTGAAGAAAGTGATCCCTAAACCAAGTAACTATCAAATAAAATCCTATGACCTCTTTTAATAATTACATATAATTTAACCTAAAGATTAGTGCGTACATATGGAAGGATTAATTATAATGCTTTCACATGAATTCCGACAGTAAGGGACACTGAGAAAGCTCTGAAATACATAAAAATTAAGAAACATAAAATCATTTTGATTATTATATTTTCTCAGAATAATGACCATGAAACTCTATGCACTTTTGCATTTTTGCAAACCATTCTTGAAAACACTCTTCCCACTAATTTTCTTTAAGTGTTGTAAGCTCACTTTTGTAGCCATCAATGGCTTTTTCAGGGCTGGAGAATCTTCCATCATTCAATTTTCCACTGTATGGAACAGGAAATAATCCCATGGTGTTGGGTCAGGACTGTAGGTTGGATGAATCATAAGTCAAACCTCTGTGGACTCTAGGAACTGAATGGTGATGTTGGCTCTGTGTGTGTGGGGTGGGGTGGGAGTGGGGACACATTGTCATGGTGCAAGATGGTCTCTTACAGTTCTGTCCTTGGCTACCATTCTTAAAGCTTCCCCCCAATTTTTGGTAGGCATATTGTCATGTACCACTGAGAAGTAATAGTCCTTTGTTCCTCTGAGGAACAGTTGTGACATGACCGCTTTTGGAGAATAAAGTTGCCACCATTTTCTTTCTGACACTTCAGGCAACTTCACTTTTGTTGGTGGATTTTCATTGGGAAAGATATTCACACTGTTGACTTACCCTTATTCTCTGGCTCAAACCATAAATCCAGGTTTCATCGCCAGCAATGTCAGAAACACATCTAGACCTGCCTCCATCAAATCTGACCAGTGTTTCTTCACACCATTCAACACAGATGCACTTTTGTTCATCTGTCAGGGTGTGAGGCACCATCAGAATGAAACCTTCCTACTCGAAGATAATCGTGCAGGATTTTATCACTGCTGGTGATGTAATCTGTAGTGCTGCTTCAATGCAGTTAAATGTCACTTGATTGTTTTCTTGAATCTTTTTTTTCCATAGCGGTGATGTTTTCCTCAGTCACTGCAGTTGCCAGATGCCCTCTCCTCTCTTCACCTTGCAGTTAAGTTCAGCTTCTTCTAAATTCTTAAAACCACCAAAAAATTGTCACAAGGGAAGGAGTAAGGTCCCCCAAAGCCCACTGCAAACACTCAAGGCTTTGAGACTCTTAACCTACTTTTTTTTTTTTTTTTTTTGAGACAGAGCCTCAAGCTGTCCCCCTGGGTAGAGTGCCGTAGCATTACAGCTCACAGCAACCTCCAACTCCTGGGCTCAAGCGAGTCTCCTGCCTCCGCCTCCCAAGTAGCTGGGACCACAGGCGCCCGCCACAACGCCTGGCCATTTTTTGGTTGCAGCCGTCATTGTTGTTTGGCGGGTCCAGGCTGGGGATTCGAACCCACCACCTTAGGTGTACGTGGCTGGCGCCTTAGCCGGTTGAGCTATAGGTGCCGAGCCCTTAACCTACTTTTAAAATCATAGAAAATCATCACGGGAAAGTGTCTCTTTCCAGCTCTGTAGCTGACACCACCTGAGTGCTGCGGACTGAAACAAATGAAACTTCCAGTGACAATGATGAGCCGGGCAAGGCAAAACCTGCACGGGCTAATCAGAAAGGACGCTGTGACTATGTTTCTTGGAAGTGAAATTAATGGAACATAATATCTGTCTGGAATCTTTCGTAGTGACCTTTGGATAACAGGTACTGTC